AAAAAAAAAAAAAAGAGCTCTTCAGTTTCTTCCAGTTTTCTCGTAGATGACCATGATAGCTCTGGGGTTTACACTTAGGTCTTAAATTTTTTTTTTTAACAAATCATTTTATTGGGGGTTCTTACAACTCTTAGAATAATCCACACATCAATTGTATCAAGAGCATTTGTAAATATGTTGCCATCATCATTTCCAAAACATTTTCTTTCTACTTGAGCCCTTGGTATTAGCTCCTCTTTTCCCCCCTCCCTTTCCCATCCCCACCCTCATGAACCCTTGATAATGTAAAAATTATTTTTATTTTCATATTTTACACTGTCTGCTGTCTCCCTTCACTCACATTTCCGTTGTTCACCCTCCTGGGGGTGGGGGTGGGGTGGGTTGTACATAACCATTGTGGTTGGTTCCCCCTTTCTCCTCTTTCTCACCCTATCTTCCCCTGACCCTCATGGTATCACTACTCTCATTACTGGTCTTGAGAGGTTTATCTGTCCGGAATTCTCCGTGTTGAGAGCTCTTATCTGTACCAGTGTACTTGCTCTGGTCTAGAGAACTGGGGTCAAGATAATGGGGGGCAGGAAGCATGAAAGAAGTAGAGGAATGCTATTCGTTTAGTAGGTGCTATACTGCACCCTGGCTGGCTTGTTACATTTAGTTCTTCAATCTATCTTGAGCTTATTTTTGTGCATGGATCTTGTGTATGGATCTTGCTTCATTCCGATGCTCATGCCAATCCAGTTTGCCCAACACCATTTGCTGAAGATGCTGTTCTTGTCCCATTTGGTCGCTTTTGGTCCTTTGCTTAGGATGAGTTGCCTGTAGGCTGGTGCATTTACATCTGGGTTTTCTGTGCTAGTGGTCTATGCCTCTCTCCTTGTGCCAATTGTGGTTTGTTGATTTTCCTAATCTTTTCAAACAATCAGCTTGTTGGTTCTTTCTACTGATTTTGCTTCATTTCTTTCTGCTCTAATTTTTCTTCTTCTTCTTTCCCCCTGGTGACCAGAGGCTTATTTTGTTTCTCCTGTTCTAATTGTTGTAGGTGTTGGGTCAAGGGATTGATTTTGGTTCTTTCTGCTGTTTTTAATCTTTGTGTTTATTGCTACCCATGGCCCTGTGACTACTGATTTGGTTCTGTCCCAAAGTTTTGGTATGTTGGGTTTTAAAGTCCTGCTTGATTCAAATGATTTTTCATTTCATTTTGTATTCTTGTGCAGTCTTCTGCTATCTTTAACTTCTACTACATTGTACTAATCTCGCTAAAAGAAATAATTTCTGCGAAAAGTCTCAGGGAACAGATAAAAGAATGAGGAGCTAATTCCAGGAACCCAAGCGGAAAGCGAATTTTGAGAATGATGAGGGCAACAAATGTATAAGTGTGCTTTACACAACTGATGTATGTATGGATTGTGATGAGTTGTATGAACCCCAATAAAATGATTTTTAAAAATAAAATAATAAAATAAAATGTAGACCCCCCAAAAAGAATGTTCTTCTTTGTACTTTTCTGTATTTTCTAAGTTTGCTATATGAATGTGTATAGTTGATGTCATACTTTTTAAAAAGCATTTAACATATTTATTATGCCACAATACTCAGCATCAGGCAACATCCTGTTCAACAAGAAAATGAGGCGGTGTCCCAGCTCCCCAACCCCACATCTTTAGAAAGCACACCTGGCCCAAACCTCCACCATGCTCCCCCCCAGGGAAACTCAAAGCAGGTGCTATCCTGGGGTGTGCAGGTGACCGTGACACATGTCCAGTGTCCCTGGAGTCTCAGTCCAGGCCCAGCAGACTGGCATAGGTGTCCTGCTCCTGTATGAGCTGGGCGTGGTCCTGCAGCTCCCCGTTCTTGAGCACCAGGATCTGGTCAGCACCCTGAACTGTCTTCAGCCTGTGAGCAATCACCAGCACCGTCCGGTTCCCTCGGGATTTCCAGTCCTGCAGCTGAAGAGGGAAGACGAGGATACCTCAGAAGGATAGGAAACGGACACCACAGTGCGCCGAGCACCGTCTCTTGTGCCTCAGGGTAACCAGCACCACTTACAGCTCTCTCCAACTCAGGGAACTCCATGTCTGTCCGAGGAGAACTGTGCTACATGGGGTTTTCAAAGGCCGGTCTTTAGTAGTAGACCACCAGAATGTAATGCCAAGACACTACTAGGTGGACTTGCATCCTGACCCTGTCAGCTAGGGGCCAAGGGTGTTCACTGTTGGCACCGCCAGGCAAAGGCCCTCGCTCTGGGTTGGCTTCAAGTCCGTTCCAACTCGAGGCGGACCCTGCGTGTGAGGGCAGAACTGTGCCCACAGGGCTTTCAGTGGCTGGTTTGGGGAAGGAGGTCCCCAGGCCTTTCTTAGCAGGAGTGTCTGGGTCGACAGGAAACACCTAGCCTTTGGGGAGCAAGTGAGTGCATCAAGCATGTGTGCTCTCCAGAGACTCCAGCTTAGGGTCAGGGAGGTAGGAAATGTGTGAAGGGAGGAACAGCGGTACATCAAGGTCTGCCCTGCCATTCTGTCTGACCTGGACCGCTGCCCCTGGAGACACCAGAGATGCCCCCATGCCCACTGGCTTCTCAATTCAGCCCCATCCTCAGTCCGCAGTCCTCAGAAGGCACTGATCTGCCTACTAGTGGCTCCTCCTCCTCCTCCTGCCCAAGTGCAGACACAGTGACCCTTCAGGTCTCAGCCCCCCACCCCACCCCCAGCGCAGAGTTCAGGGGACCACGGCACTCACCGCCTGCTCACAGTCAGCATCCAGGGCACTGGTGGCCTCATCCAGGATGAGCACCCGGGGGTCTCGCACAAGGGCCCGCGCAATGGCCAGACACTGCTTCTGCCCCACAGCCAACTGGCTCCCTTTCTCCCCGACTTCTGGGGAAATCAGAGAAACCCCCTTCGTCAGACACAAGCGGCCACCCTGACGTGCCTCGCCACAAGGATGACCAGTGCACAACCGGTTTTTCCACAAGAACCAGCCGGGAGGGCTGAGCTGCAGGAGGGCCGCGGGCAGGGAGCTAGTGGGGCTGCGGAGATGGAGAGAGCACGGCTGTGCAGGCTCGCTGGGAAGCAGGACTCCCATAGGAGAAAGAGGCTGCAGAATCCGGGGTGCTGGGGAGGAGGGAGCGGGAGCACCAGGACGGAGTGACCGAAGGATGGCTCGGGCGTCACCGCGCTTGCCCACTGAGTAGGTGCCCTTTGCTCACTGACTGAGAAAATCTGCCAGAGCTACCTGTGTGCATGCCGTGCTCCATCTTCGCTATGAATTGGTCTGCGTGGGCGTCCCTGGCCGCTGCCAGCACCTCCTCATCCCTGCAGTTCTCCAGGCCATAAGCAATGTTGTCTCTCACCGAGCCCGAGAAGAGGACTGGCTCCTGCCCCACCAACACCACCTGCACACAGTGGACACGCCCAGAGGGCTCTGTGGGAGGTCTCCGGGCCAGAGGCCCTCCCACCTCCCCCAGAACAAACCCTCTGTATTGCTTCTGGGGGCCCACCCCCCATTGCCTGTGGGCATGCTCCTGTTCTGCTCCGCCCATCCCTCCTCCCCGTCCCCACCCACCTTTCTGTGCAGGTAGTGGTGCTCATACTGGGAGAGGGGCTCCCCATCCAGCAGCACCTGGCCCCCGCTGGGCTGGTACAGATTCTGCAGCAGGGCGGCCACGGTGCTCTTCCCAGAGCCGTTGGGCCCAACCAGCGCAGTCACCTCACCAGGACGAAGAGTGAAGGTCAGCCCCTAGAGAAGCCAGGGCCGGGTTAGGGGCCTTGCTCTTCTTCCTCCCGGCCCCTTCCCTTTCCCACCAGAGGCCAGGTGAGCTCTGAGGGCAGCATCTACAGGCTACAAGGCAGCAGTGCCAGGTGTCTCCCGTGGCCTCTTTCGGGCACCTTGAGCACAGGCTGGTCCGGTCGACTGGGGTAAGCAAAGGAGACATCGTGGAATTCCACACGCCCCTCCAGATGGGAAGGGGCCCGTGTCCCCGAGGGGGGCATGTTTGGCTGTCGGTCCAGGTAGGCAAACACTTTCTCGGCAGCTCCCACGTTGCTCAGCATGTCTCCCCACATGTACACCAGGCTCTGGGAAACAGGGATGGAGGGTGAGCTATCAAACACACCTCCCCAGAAATCAAGGATCAATCTAATGAGCCAATTTCCCACCTCCTACCCACAGCCATGCTGCCTCCCCATCCCCCACCTCCCCCTTAGCCAGGAAAGATGGGATGGAACTGATCAGTGGCAGCAATATCGCCAGCTTCCAGGTGATGAGGGGAAAGAGGGTTGTCTCATACTCATCCCACCACCACGTTTCTGTCCCCAGGTTGTGTTAATCACTGCCCTGTATTCGTGCCCAGCTCTGCCCGGCCTGACCAGACAGACAGTTGCTTATAAACAAGCCCCGTGCCCAGCTCACTGTTGCACTCACTGGACTGCCTGGCACAGAATGATGGTCAACAACTGTGCAGGGGATCACCAAATAACACCCAAATAAAGTAATTAATTTTGAAGATTGGCAAACTTGGGAAAGAATTCGGGTTTATATGCCTCTCCTGGTTAAACTATTCCCCTGGGTCGCCCAATCGTAGATGACAGCAAGCTTGCTGAGTAGACATGGTCCCACTGATAATGGAGAGATGATGTAATCCCATGGCTTTGCAGCCCCTCGTCACGTCACTGGGTATTGGGCACCAAAGTCTGGGGACATCACAATGCGAGGATCAGGCATTGTGTGCTCCTGGTTGAAGAGTGTACTACCACCTGAGACATATGCTGTCCTCGAAAATAGTTTTTTGAAAGTACTGGAAGGCCTTAATTTAATAAGCCTCTATATTTATCTAACAACTGCCTGTAAATACAGACACAAATAAAATACTAATCAATGAAAAAAATACTAATCAACTAGCCAAATAAAATACTAATCAGAAATAAAATACTAATTAACTAGCCATAAAAGAAAAAAACTCCAAGTACACATGGCAATGTTTCTTTAACGAATAAATTCTAAGAGAAACAACTGAATTACAGAGGTGAAGCCTTCAGAAACATATGGAAAAATGGAATGAAGAGATAATGGGATTTCCCACCCCCTTTTTTGCATCCCCTTCTTTCATGTGCACACACATGCGGTGACTTGGTAAATTCATGGGAAAAATATCCATGATCTTTTTATTTGCCTTTTTCCATGAACACTTTGAATTCTCTGAAACATATATGTATCATATATATGAGTATCCAGAGAGGTGAACTTAATTTAGATCACAATTATTATTCCACAAACTATTATTCAAAAAGTTTGTGGAAAAGCTTCCTGATCTTTCCCATTTTCCCCCCCACAAGTTTTTGAAGCCCCCTGGTATATGTGTGCCGTGTGTTAAAAAGATACTATTATAAAATCACAGAAACCAATATCCAACAAAATATCAGAATGTGGAGGTATAATGTTTAGGCATATCCTCCATCTAGCAGTGACGTGCACTTCGGAAGGTGATGTTTCCATCTCTCACCCTTCCCGGAAAACGTCCATGCTGTTCCCTTTGGACCTCATCCTGGAAGCATTGGGACATTCAAGTCCCATTCCTTTTCAATGTTCTTTGAGTTTTGTGGGGTTTTAAAAATACTTTTATTGGGGCGCTTACATCTCTTATCCCAATCCATACCTTCCTCCAGCGTGTCAAGCACATTTGCACATATGCTGCCATCATCATTTTGAAAGCATTCTCTTCCCACTTGAGCCCCTAACATCAGTTCCCCATTTCTTCCTCCGTCATCCCCTGCCCTCCCTCCCTTATGATCCCTTGAGAAGTTATAGATTATTTTTCCATATCTTACATCGTCCTCCGCCACCCCTCACCCACTTCTCCGTCATTCGTCCCCCTGGGAGGGGGTTCTAGTTTGATCCTTGTGATCGGGTTCCCCTTTCTTTGAGTTTGGTGAACAAAGAGAAGTCTGCAGGGGCAAGCCCAGAACTGCAGGGTAGATAGGATAAAGTTTTCCAATAAGGGTAGTAAGCATGCCTCTTGCTACCCTTGAAGAAGGAGTAGGTGCACTGTCAGGATGGAAAAATATTCCTTACGCAGCACAACGTGCCTGGCCTTCATTTTCTTAAAATTGTATCCTTTGAAAAAATCTATCAAGATTGTCCCTTTAGATAAACATGGCCCAAAACTAGCTGCCATCACCTTCAGAGCTACGGCTCTCTGCCTGAATTTAAGGCGCCATCAGATCGCCCCCAAAGCCATTGCTTTCACTGGGCCTTTTTGGAAGACATCTTAATGAGTCTAAGATCTGTGACGGAGAGAACGTGTCTGCGGCATCCACTGCACAGAGACTTGTTAAACAGGTTTAGGGGAAGGGAACCCACGCAGGTCTGAGCAGCACTGCTGTTGGACTCACCCTCGTAGAGTGCATATTAGCACCAAAGAGAAATCGGGTCACTCTCTGGGCATTTGATGTAGTGAAGGGGTTACTGTTGATTTTGTAAGTACAGTGAACCCTCGCCACTTCGCGCTTCGACTTCTGCGGCTTCACTCCGGGGTGCTGGGGAGGAGGGAGCGGGAGCACCAGGACGGAGTGACCGAAGGATGGCTCGGGCGTCACCGCGCTCGCCCACTGAGTAGGTGCCCTTTGCTCACTGACTGAGAAAATCTGCCAGAGCTACCTGTGTGCATGCCGTGCTCCATCTTCGCTATGAATTGGTCT